GCTAAGGTGAGCGGAAGTGCCCACCCCACAGGAAGTGGACACGGAGGTGTGGTGAGCCCGCCCATGCCAGCTCAGCGGGGCAGCCCGGCCTCAGCTGGTCTCGGTCACCAGCGTCACGACTGGCTTGTTGCACGGCGTCACTGTGTAACAGAGGATGAAGAGGCTCCTCCTGGGACCAGTCAGTGACCAAAGCCCAGCCCAGCCGTCAAGGTGACAGCTTAGGAGCCAAGTGCCCGGGCTTCAAACGCCAGCTCCACCAGCTTCCGGTCGGGAAGTCGTGACTACTGCCGTATATGACACAATCTGCACTGTCACAAGAACACGGCAATATGCTCATTTTCTCACTGAAAAGAAACCTGGTTTTGGAAATCATTATGAGGCAAAGTAGATAATGAAGACAGAGTAGCAGGAGATGGATTTGAATATCCCATGGACTGCGAAAGAACGAAGAGATCTGCCTTGGAGAAGTGCGGCCGGAGTGCTACAGGCAAGGATCGCACACTGTGGGCACGTCGTCAAGAGAGGACAGTCCTTGGAGAAGCAGAGGGTAAGGGAAAGGAGCTGGACCGGCACGGTGATTGTGAGGACGGACTTGAGCCCAGCAGACTGGGAGGCGGTGCGGCACGGGGAGAGCTTTATCTGTTGTGGGGACGGGGCTAAGGGACAAGAGTAAACCCAAAGGTGTCGAACAAAAACGGAAAATCTCATAGTGCACTAACAGATCTGAAAAAGTGTGCAAACAAGACATCAGACAGTGACAGGGAGGACCCCGAGAGACGGGAAGTGAAGGGGAGACTCCCAGTGCGCCCGTGTCTGCCTGCAGAGGGCCCTCCAGGTTAGGGAGCTGGGGAGCCCGGGTAAAGCTCAGTCCCTGTGAGTTACAGAGGTGGGGTTAGATGCAGGGTTGAAGGGGAGAGAGCTCCACAGAGAGAAGACGTAACCACAACTTGGACATGGGAATGGGGGTCTTCAGTTTCGCACATATAATGCTCCTCTAACAAACGGCTGTTTTTAAGAATTCTTAAAGAACACGAGTCCCCAACTGCGGGTGACAAGCACAGGCTCTGATTTTGCAGTTCTGTGATCTCGAATGCTGCTGCTTCTATGGAAACAGACCCATAAGGAGCACACTCCCAAGTCAGACAACAGATCTGACAAAAACACAGCAAGGCCCGGGCACAGGGATGCCTGGGTGACACGGAGACCTGGCTCCAGTCACGGGCCCCCAGAACAGAGGCAGCGGCAGCGGCAGCGCACTCTCTCTCAAAGGAGGGGAGACCCTGGAATAACTGGACTGACACGCTGACTGTAACAGTGGGTGGAGTGATGGGCAGGGGACACTGTATTTCCTGGTCTGTCTCTTGCACGGAGTCAGCTTCCCAAGTGTGATCCAGGTTTGAGAGTTCAGGAAACACAGGAAGTATCATTAAGACAACTTTTCCTTTGGTTTGCTACCAAACCAGGAAACACAACTAGAATCATAAATAACCAGAATAGAATAAAGCTCTAAAGACGCCCATGAAAGGCCACAGCAACCACTGCCCACCATAACTTTTCTCTCCCGTCTCTTGTGAATATTTAAACACATGTGAGTCACGCTAGAAGGCGGAGGGGGAAGAGAAAGCAAGTACCAACTGCTTCCAATTCCTGAGAAAATGGCAGAGTTTCTGACAAAGATTTAATTTTTTCTTCTCAAAGGAGCCATCTGACATTAGCTGTAATATCCCTAGTGCAATGGCCTCTTCTAAACCCGGCCTGCACATCTGGCACTTCTCTGTTGATGTGCTGTTCCAGTGGTTTTTGGCTAATTTTCAACAGGATCTTGCTTGCATGGGATGATAATGATATTGTTCGATAATTTCTGCACTCTGGTGTTACATACCCTCAAATCGGAACAGATTCCAGTGCGTTTCCAGGGGCTGTAAATGCCACGGGAGGAAAATGTCCATCTCACCCATGTGGGGAGAAAGCCTGCGGATGCTGAGTGAGGAACGTGTGCAGGGAGTGGCTGAGAGAGGCCAGCACGGGCAGTGGCACATGGACCTTAGCTGCCCTGAGACACGAGTGAGTCCCCAACACAGCTCTGTCCCCAGTGATGGGGCACGATGCCAGAGTAACTAGAAAACGGTGAAGTCAGCCCTGGAACAAAAATGCTTCCTCAGTGCCATTCAGAAGATGAAGGAATCGGCAAACTTGAGACGTCATTGAAAAAGAAACCACTCCCTGAAGGTCACCTGGTGTCTCAAGCAGGAGGGACATCTGTCACGGTATTTATGAAACTCGTTATAATCCCGGCCTGTTTGAATTCCTCCCGTAGCCAGATAACACAGCTCACAGAAGGCTGATAAAATTATTTTTAAATACTTTGACATGCTCACATCCATTCATTACAGTCATGCTTCATGCTTCCTGCACTTTGTTACGTCTAGCTTCAGTTCCTTTTCTTTCATTCCTTTCAAAGGATCTGATTAGATTTAATGTCAGGCTGGGTTAGTAATGGCCAGCTTTTTTCCTTTCTGTTAAATGAGAAGCTGGTTATGTTACTTTCTAAATGACCTGCAAAGAAAACAACGCAGACTTGACACAAACTAGTTTACATTTCTACATTTAAAAATAGAGGAAGCCTGACGGAATAAGCTATGAAGCTGGTTTTGAGTTTGTAATCACTCGGTAAGTGTGCCAAACTCTCCTCAGATGAGGCCTCAAGTTGCTGCTGTTAGCTGCTGCCAAGTGGAACTCACGGTGACCCCGTGACAACCGACTCGAATCCTGTCCTCTCCTGGTGCCCTCATCGTCTTCGCCATCCTTGAGGGCTGAAGCCGGCCCCTGAATTAAACTGAGTATTTTTAGCCATCATTTATTCCTTGATGACTCCTTTGATGATCACTTCAGTAGCATTCCCTCTGATGAAACTGTTGTCTTTTATTTAATGTCAAGTTCATTTCACTGTGATTTTACATAATGCATCAAATTCCAACTTCCAAACCTTAAAATTGGACATTTGGTAATACCTAGAGACATTATGAATTCTGTTGTGGCCTAATGGTAAGGCGCTACACTGCCCACCTGAAGGTACCTGGTTCGAATCCACTAGTTAGTTGCTCCACGGGAGAAATATGGGCAGTCTCTTCCCATGTGATTAACTGCCTCTGGAAAGCAGCTGAGGGTCAGCTGTGGGTTATACATGACTGTATAACAGTAACAAGAGACATTATTAAGGAGCACTGGAGCTCTAGTGGGTAAGGAGCTGCACTGTCAATCCCAAGATGGGCAGTTCAAATCTCCCAGTGGCTCTGAGAGTGAAAGATGGGCAATCTTCCCCCGGGAGATTTACAGTCTCTGGAAACCCACTCGAGGGTCAGAGAAGAGTGACTTCTGACTTGACAGCAACGAGTGCGTGAGACTGGTGGTAGTTCTCAACTGGGACTGCTACTGGCATGCAGACGTCCTGGTGGCCTAGTGGTAAGGAATTGTGCTGCCAACCCAAAGGCACATGGTTCAAATCCACCAGCTACTCCCCTGCAGAAAGATATACTAATCTCTTCCCATGGCACAAAGCAACAACTGGCATCTAGTCCAGAGGCCAGGGGTGCTCTTAACCGCCCTCTAATTCACAGACAGATGCCAAGAAGGAAGACTTACATGGCCCCGAACGTCAGTGGTGTCCAGGCCATCCCTCTCACGTATGAGTACTATTTCCTCTCATGTTATGATGAGTAATCTTTAACTAGGGAGCTCTCGTGTTCTCGTGGTAAGAAGCTGCACTGTAATCTCAAAGGCATGTGGTTCGAATCCACCAGCTGCTCCACGGGAGAAGGACGGGCAGTCTCCTCCTGTGTGATTTTAACTGCCTCTGAAAACCTGCTGGAGGGTCAGCTACAGGTTGCTTCCGACTCTATAGTACACAACAACAACAACAACAATAACAACAGCACCAATCTCTGACACTGATCAATCTTCTTGAGTATTTCCACTACCCACTGCTGGTAACGACCCTCCGGTGGGTTTCTGAGGCTGGGCGTCTTTAGAGGAGGACACTATGCACCTTTCTCCCGCTCAGCAGCTGGGGGATTTGAACTGCTGATCTTCGAGTTGGCAGCCAGATACATTACGTATGGCACCACCACAGCTCCTCTAAGTAGCACAGTGTAACAAAATAAGAGGAAAATGTTCAAGCAGAGGACCTCCTTACCTCTGAATTTCAAATATCTGGGTCAGACTAATTTGTAATCCAGGCTGTCTATGAAAAGCATTTGAAAACATATAAATGCCACAGTTAATACACGGCATAAGTTTTTGATAAATTCCTGGAGGGTTAAGATCTAATAGAGATATTCTGTAAGCAAAGACTCATAAGTGATTTGATTATTCGGCTGAGAATCATTTAAAACCTTTCATGCTATTTAAAAAGATCAAGAAAGAATTCTCAGGTCTGTTCTCTGAATATAATAACACTGTGATATCCATCTACTCAATTTTCTTCCGGAAACCAACCCTGGATAATTACACAATAATGCAAGAAGGCAAATTCATCTCAGTGGGCTGGATTTGCATTCTATGGAAAGGAATTAGAAGTCAAACGTGAGTGTACTTTCTTCCCCTTCTCCCACTCCCCTGCGCTTTCCTGAAGCGATGCTGAATGCCTGCCTCCTGCTGGCTGCGTGTCCTCACGTGTGCTGCCCTGACCTGAGAGATGGGGGCTCCGGGCCAGAGGGCACGACGACCCCCTCTCCTCCCACGCCCTGAGAGGGTGTCTGTGCTCAAACCACGCCAGGGTTACACAGCTCTCAGCGAGCACACACCTCTCCCCCACGGTCAGTGGCAATGGAACCAGCCTCCATGCAGGAGCAGCAGGCACGGTCTCGGTTAAGAGCCAACAGAAACTCCACACCAACACCTATCAGGCACCAGGATTAGGAATCGAAAGCCAAGAGCGGTAATAGAAGACGCAGGCTATGAGCTCAGCTCCCGCCTTGCCAGACGGGGGCCACGGGACTCACCTGATTGTTACTGGTGGCCGCGGACGCATTGGCTTGAGCTGTGCTGGCCGAGAGCGAGTCAAGGAAGGCTTGGTCAGCCACGGAATTCCCACAAGAGAATGGATCTTTTCCATCAGCTGGTAAAATCTGAGTATGAAGAGGAATGACCATTACTGTGAATCTTTGGAGGTTATTTCAGAATCAGGGTCAACTACTGTGACAAGGTTTCAGTCTATAAAAGCACCTCTAAGAGGATGAACCAGGCTGCTCCTTGGAGGCAAGGATTCTGAAGCTCGTCTGACATACTCTGGGCATGTTACAAAGAGGAACCAGTTCTTGGAGAGGGACGTCATGCTTCGGAGGGTGGAGGGAAAGTGCAAGGAAAGAAGACCCTGGATGAGATGGATTGATTCAGTGACTGGGGTAATGGGGGTGGGTGTGTCCGAGGCAATGAAGTTGGCTCAGGATAGAGCAGGGTTCAGGGCTGTTGTACACAGGGTCGCTATGAGTCAGAGGTGACTCGACCACACATAACAACAACAACAACAAGAACCTCGGCAATAATGATGTTCCTCTGTAAACACGCAGATTTCTAGAAAGTGCTGTCAGTGCTACTACTGACCTCACTGTTCAGGTTTTTGTCCTCATGTCGATTTTCTGACTATTGAGTACACAGTGTGCACAGCCAACCTGGGAAGGGAGCAAAGGTCTGGGGACGGCAGCTGGGGACTAAGAGGCTTCTGACATGTAAGACACTGCATGAACTGTGTGTGTCTTCCTGAGAAGGTCTACAGACTTCATCAAATCCTCAAAGGGCTCATGAACCTCTATGCCTTGCTGTTAAGAGATACCAGGGTCATCCTAGTCTGCTGGTGGCCCCTGCCAACCGCCCTCCCAGGGGCTTTCTCCTGTTTCTACGGTGAATTAGAGGCAGCTTTAGTTTTGCGCTCGCTCCAGTCTGAGAGGAGCTCACCAGCACCCAGTGCATCAGTTCTGGGAGACTTATTGCCCCAGGGACAGTTAGGTGCACCTGACCTGAGCCTCGGTATTTCCAAATGCCTCAGAAGCACGTCAAGGCTGGATGGTGAATCTGGAAAACTGAGGCAGAACTGATGCCTCTGAATTATGGTGCCGGGGCACGGAATATCCCACGGACTTCCAGAAGAGCAAACAGATGTGTTCCGTGCTGCCAGAGTGCTCCTTAGATGCAAGGACGGTGAGACGTCACCTCACGCATGTGGACGTTAGGAAGGGCCGATCCCTGAAGATGGGATGCTTGGGAAAGCAGAGGGCCAGCAAGAGAGGGCAAGACCTTTAAGGAGACGGATGGGCAAAAGGGGCTTCAGGAAGACTGAAGCAGGACTGGGCAGTTCCTTCTGCTGCGCCCCACTGGTGGCCAGCAGGGGGCGCCTGGAGGCCGGCTCAGGTGGAGTCAGGGCACCTCCAGGAAGCAGGTAACAACCATCCTACCACCTGCCAGGTTGGTCGCCAGGTGCCAGTGGTGTCAGTTCCCACTTGGCTACGTAAACACAACAAAGGCCTGCCAAGCCTGCACCATCCCCAGTAACAACCGGCTTGAGCCCACTGCTGCATCTCAGACCCTCTACCTCACAATAGAGCTGAAACCCGTTAACAGCTCCTAAGCAGCTTATTCAAGATACTCTCCGTCGGGGGGAAAAGGACCAAGAAATGGGTCCCGAATTAGCAGAGGGAGAAGAAAAGTTTCCTAAACATTACTAATGAATTCTACAATATACAGCATTAAAGGGGGCACATCATCTGAGCAAAAGGCAAACAGGGACGTTTATTAGAGTAATTAAAAATTGTTATCTGTGGGGACAACTTAATCTGAAGATTTACCATCATGCTTTGGAACTTGAGTCTATAGGCAATGTTGTTTATTTCCTCCCCTTAATTTTATTTCAATATATTTGCTTTTAAAACTCCAACATGCTTTCCATATATCACCAACATATTTATTACTTTTCCAATGAAAATTATTGTATTAAAAAGATAATTTCCCCCTCTCAGCTGGACCCCTTAAGCCACGAGTTCATAAAGAGGCATCCAGCCCAGGGCGAGCCTAACAAACGGGTAGTGAGTGAGTGAAGTCCTTACTTCAACGTAGTCTGTGGGCACGAGGCCTCGCTCCCCTCTGCTGTTCTTGCCTTCCAGCCAGCCTCCGCCAACATCCTGAGAAAGCAGTGCAAAGACACACACGTCAGTCAGAACCTCCTGCAGAAATGCGGCTGTTGTACATGCAAACGCAATCAGTGCTAAGCTTCTGACTCCTACCAAGCTGACATTCTGGTCACAACTTTGAATTTGGAAGCTATTTATTCTCTTACTCCAGAAAATGGTAGCATCTTAAAAACAAGAAAAGTCAAGCTCCAACAGTAAGTGGCCTGCGGAGACTGCCTGGTGTCATGCTGCAGCCCACTCTGCCCGCTTCTCTTCTAGGGGGCTCATTACCGGAATGGCTTGTGGCTCCAGGTGAGAAGGCGGCGGCTCACTTGCCGTGGCCACACCAGGCTCTGGGTCCCCCAGGGCCAAGAGAGTGGCTGAATGTCCCAGCCTTAAGGTCCTGCACTGCAGCCTGCTCTCAGGAGACCTGGGCCACTACAAGGACACATCTGGGTAGGGAGATAGTTAGGGACGCAAGGCCTCATCTCCCTGTCAGAGCCCGTCATCTGCTGGGTTTTCACCAGTGGGAATGAGACCACTCAGCCCCATGGGGTGCCAGGTGAACAGAGACATGGGAGCCCCACTTCTGCTTGATCAGGTCAGCGGAGCCCCAGAAACTCTGAGCAGTGACAAATGGCCACTCTTGGGAACCTCTGAGTCCCAGCAGAAGCTCGTTGACCCACGGCTCCTGATCTCTTTCAGATGAGGGTTTACAACTTGGATGATTACACCAATGTTCACAGCAGCATTATTCACCATCACAAGAACATGGAAAAGGCCCAAATGTCCAACCACAAACGAATGGATTGAGGAATTATGGCACATTCACACAATGGAATACTATGCAGCACACAGGAACAATAACTGTAAATTATCACCTAACTTGGGAGGGACTGGAGAGCATTATGCTGAGTGAACTAACTCAGTCCCTCAAGGATAAATATTGTATAAAACCTTTATTGTAGAATGAGTATAAAGGTCCAGGAGGGGTGGGAGAGGCTGAAAGAAGAGGGATGTGGTGGATGTGCAGGGGGAGGAGGGGAGATTAATCATTGGGTTGAACAATTTGATGGAGGGGTGAGGGAAATTGAAAGAATTTGTATTCGAATTTTGTAAATAAACTAGTAGAGAGAGAGAAAAAAAAACACCAAAGAAAAAAACAAACAAAAAACCCCACTTGGGTGATGATGAGGAATTCTGCACCAGGACTCAATCTGTTCACTTTTCAATCTGTTCTTTCAGTCTAGACACTTTTTTGGCTAAAACAGTATGTTTTATTTCATTGTTCCAATAGGGCCCCAATTAGGTTAATAAATAGTGGGACCTGACTACTACATTCTTTTTTAAAAAAGAATCATTTAAGCCACACTGCCAGTTTTTTTAAGTTGTATTACTTTGTGTGTGTGGACCGTCAAATCGGATCTGACCGGTACAGGAGGAGACTGCCCCTCCTTCTCCAGCAGAGCGTCTGGTGGATTCGAACCGTGAGCCTCTGGGATTGCAGCGCAGCTTCTTGCACACTGCCAGTTTTTAACCTCACCAACAACTATACGACATTTACTCTTTATCAAAATAGGTAATAAAATCCAATCCAAAGTATTTACCTGGCTTTCTTCAAATAGTCTGAAATATTTTTTTCACACAAAAATGTTAGAGGTAGACAGATGAACTGTTACTTTTGCCTATGATTAAAAACAGAATTTACAAACTTCTATATAGCCGGGCCACAGACACGCTGTTGGGTAGATTTCACTGACTGGTGCAACCCGCTAACAGTGTCTGACAGCACGTCCACGGCCGTGACCTCTGAGGAGGCAGAAGGCTGCACCTTTCTCCCACGTGCTGACTGCAGGCTTGGAATTGTTCGCCTTTCCTTCAGCAGTTCAGTGCTCAACCCCTGTGCCCCCGGATCCCCTATTTGTGTACATTCCTGTTGTTGTTGTTGTGTACCACGGAGATAAAACTGACCCACAGCTGACCCTCCAGTGGGTTTCCAGAGGCAATTAACTGCACAGGAGGAGACTGTCCATCCTCCCCCCGCCGGAGCAGCCGGTGGCCTTGAATGGTGCATTGCACCGGGATTGCAGTGCAGCTTCATGCCACTACGTCACCTGAGCTCCCTACTGTATTTCCCTGCTGGCCTGCGGACCTCTGGCTCTGCATGTCCACTCACTGACACGTGTGAGCTGCAGGCCAGGCCGACTGCTCACTGTACCCTAAGAGCAACATCCAACTGGAAATGCACGCATCTCTCCCAGCTCCTTCCGACTCACAGCCCCTCTGAAATACGCCGTTCTCTCAGGCACAAGGCCCAAACCCCCGGCATGGTGGCCTTTTCTTGCCAAGCTACTCTATGAGCCTTGTCTGTTGGACAGTGTTACAGCATTATCATTAGTCTTGTTAGGTGTGACACAGCGGTACGATGATCATGTCTGAAGATGAATTCTGTTTCATCTTATGCTTCTAGATGATGTGTGTACAGGAGAGGGAAGCAGGAGAAACATGGATCACAGATGAGAACATGAGCCACAGACCCCGAAAACGGCCACCAAGCCCCCGCCCCCAGCGTTTCCAAGGCTGTGAATGTTCACGGAAGCAGATGCCACGCCTCTATCCCTGGAGCGGTTCGGGGATTCCAACCACTCACCTTTGTGGTTAGCAGCCAAGCACTTAACTGCTGTGCCACCAGGGCTGCAGAGGGGCTGTGGGTCGCTAATTACTGTTGATAATGGGATGGGCACAGAGGCAGTCACCAATCTACTGTCTCTACCACACTGTGTGTTCCAAACTTGTCAAGACACCAACGTCTGCGTGCCTGCCTCATGCCTGCACTCAGGAGAGCCCAGTCCGGGTGGGAGAGAGCAGGGAGTCTGCGGGGCTGAGGTGGGATCTGGAGGGCCTGGGAGGAGGAGGAAGAAGGAGGAGGAGAAAGAGGAAGAAGAAGGAGAGGAGGAGGAGGAGGAAGACGCACAGTCTGGCCAATGAGCTGAGCTGAGCTCTGGCCACGTGGATCACAGGGCAGTGGGAACAGAGCTCAGATGTCCAAGAGCCAAATCTGAGGATTGATTGGGTCACACAGTCAAACTTCGGATACACACAGATACAGAGTCTTCAGGGGAAAACAGGGAGAGCGCTTGAGGAAAATGTGACCGAGATGGAATTCCACGAGACAGCAACATTGTGGAGGTAGAAAAGATGAGAGCTCACAGAGCGCTAGCCAGGTGAACGGAGATGGACGGAGAGACAGACATTCTACAGCTGGATGCAAGGCACTGGGGTCCACTCGAGGGCTGGGGGCTGGAAGTACTCAGGAGGAGAAATGGACAGAGCACTCTGGAAAGACACGAGCCAGGTCAGGCCAAGCTCTCCACTTCTGTGCCCAAGGCGGCATCCACTTAAGGATGTGAGTGGCTGAAACAGGGACAGGACACAGACGAAACGCCAGGCTTGGTAGGGGCCAGTACCTGCCCAGGACAGCGAGCAGAAGGAGGCACCCAATAGGCCACCAAAGCAGCCCTGCCAGTGTGTTGGGGACAAGAGGAAGGCAAGGGACAGCGAGTAACGGGGCACAAATTGCTGCTGTTACAGCTGCAGGTGCTGTTGCTGGGATCGGCTCTGACTCAGTGGCCCTGCGTCCCGCAGGAGACCCTGCCCGATCCTGTACCAGCCTTGCAATCTCTGCCATGCACAGATTCCCTGTGTAGAACTTGATTCTTCCTCTGCGTAAGCTGAACTCACTGGAGTAGTTTTTCTGAAACGCCACTTGAAGAGGTTCTCCTTACCGTTCTGTTATAATCTGTACCCATTTATTCTCAGTAGCTATTGCAGGAGCTCCCCAGCCACTTTGAGGGAGAAAGACAGTCCCTCCCATGAAATTGACAGCCTCAGAAACCCGACGGAGGGTCACCCTGCGTTGGCACTGCCCAGTGGCAGTGGGCACAACACAGTCACATCTAAATGAGGTCAACTGTGTAAAAATGAAGGCAGGTATCACACAGAAATAATGAAAAAAACTACAGCCGCATCGTGGGGTAGGATGATTGGAGGGGGAAAAAAAATGACCATTATACTTGCCTCAGAGTTTCCTGGCAGCAAAGGCAAAAGAAAGAAAAGATATTCAACAGTCTATCAGGATTTTGTTTCATAAAAGGAAATAGGCCAAAGTCCCCAGAGAAAGAGCCTGGGATACAAGAGCACATGACGCGTAGGAGAGAACACAGCAGTGGAGTGTTCCACGAGCAGATCTGCCCGTAGTGGGGGGAGCACACCTGTGTACACAGGTAGGTGCGTGTGGACTCTTGGGAGATACATGTGGACATACATGTGTGTACATACACGTTTGAGCAAATCTTTGTGAACATGCTTGTCATACACAATTCTGTAAAAGCCATTTCCTTAGGAGGTAAGCTAACGAACTCCAAACACCCTGCTTTCTGATAATCTGATCTGATGTAAAGCTTAGAAAAGCAATGGTCCTCATGGCCACCGAGTCGGAACTGGCTCACGGCTGACCCTGCAGCGGGTTTTCAGAGGCTGTAAATTGCATGAGAGGAGTTTGCCCCGTCTTTCTCCTGAGGATTCAAACCTCCAGCCTTTGGATTGGCGACCTAACTTCCCACCCACTGCAAGAGTAAGTTTAAATCAACAAACTAAGAAATTTTGGCAAGTTGATGTCCTTTCTTCTGGAGACACAGTATCACAACGTCATGAAAAAGAACACAGAACTATATTCCTGGACAGCAGCAGAGCATTCAAAAGCCAGGATATGGAAAATGATTCAACATAATAAACAAAACTACAATAAAGACATTCCAAAATACAAGGATAACAGTACTCAACTATGTACTCAGCTATTGTTAGGAAAAGTCACTTTCCTCTGTGTTTATAGAAATAGTTTCTTATAATATTCAGAAAAACTTCAGAAGCAACAGGGGGAATAGTCATAGAGGTAAATTACCAACTTACTTAAAACAAACAAACAAACAAACAACATGGAATAATAAAATTAAGTGTCTGAGGCACAGTGTGATTTGAAAGGAAACGCCCCCTTACTGGATTTGTTATGGTGATGATTTCTCCTTCATTGACGGTCAGCTCATTATTTCCAGGTTCAGCGGCGAAATCATACATGACCCGCGCCTGTGGAGAGGAGAGAGGAAGAGGGGAGAAACAATATTACAGATGCTAAGTTGACAGAGACAACAAACCCCACGCCCTTCGGAGAGCTGTGCCCACAGTGACGGCTTCAGTGCTGAAGGAAAGACTTCTGGCTACTTCTCCCTCCACGCTTGGAAGTCAGGTCTGCAAACAGTAACTCAAAACACACCCAGTTCTTTCATGAAAAAGCCAGACACAGTGGCCCCGGCCCTGCTAGCGGGTTATTCCACGTACTCTCAAGGACTAACAAGATGTGCACACACACACTTGTCTTACGATTCATTTGCTTTCAGGTCCTTTGCTAACAAAACCCTCATTATTGAATATACCATGAATTGCTAGGAAAACGAAAAGGTTCATCCACGAGAGGGTTAAACCAGACTGCTCCTTGGAGGCCAGGATTCTGAAGCTTCGTCTGACATACTTTGGACATGTTACAAGGAGGGATCAGTCCTTGGAGAGGGACATCATTCTTGGGAGGGTGGAGGGACAGCTCAGGAGAGGAAATGGACTGATTCAGTGACTGGGGTAGTCAGGGTAGGTGTGTCAGAGACAATGAGATTGGCACAGGATAGAGCAGGGTTTAGAGCTGTTGTACATATGAGTTGCAGGTGACTTGACGGCACATAACAACAGCAACAACTCCTTAGCCAGAGCTCCTTGGGATGGATTTGGAGGGTATCATCTACATGAAGAAATTTGAGATTTGGATCAAAAGTTGTATTTGTACCCTTCTACTATAATCCTTCCTGCTATACTTGCATATAAATAATTGTGCGTATTGGTAAAAGAACTTCATCACTTGTGACTCAAATTTGTCCCATGAAGCACTGGAATGGATTGAATGGAGTCCTACCCCCAAATCCATAAAATGTTCACTGGACTGGGCCATGATTCTAGTGGTCAGGCAGTTATGAAATTATGTAAGCACTTCCTATGACCAGCCAATCATATGTGAGGACTTAGGGTGGGGTACATACAACACCTGCCTTTTATTCGGGGGACAGTCCTGCAACAACTTCCATCTCACCAAAGGAAACACACAAGCAGAGGCGGGTGGGGAGGGAGTTCTGTCCATCAACACAGAAGAACCGGGAGCAGAGTGCACCCTGTGGGCCTTCGTCCCTGAGCCGAGCAGCTCCTGGGTCCAGGGAAAACGATGTCAACACACCAAGAAATGTCACAGACACTGAAAGGGGACAAGGACTCTGCCCACCCACCCCGAGCTGACAGAAGCAACACTGCCCTGGGGCTGGTGCCCTAAGCTCTGAGAAGAAATTTCTGATTGTTAAATGTCACCCACTTGTGCCTGTTAAAGCATTATCAGAAAACGGAGATAGGCATCGACCCAGAAGTGGACCCTTTGGAATATTTTTCCATGTGTATGTGTTGCTGTGGTGTACCATCGAGTCAGAACCAAGCCACAGCTGACCCTCCAGCAGGTTTTCAGAGGCTGTAAATCACACATGGAGACTGTCCACCTTTCTCCGGCGGAGCAGCTGGTGGATTTGAACCATGTGCTTTCGGGGTCTCAGTGCAGTTCCTCACCACTAGGCCACCAGAGTTCCTTCTGTCTGTGTGGTACTGCTGTGTCATCTACTGTATTTTATGAACTTTTATAGTATGTAATACATGTTTAACAGCATGTAGTTTAGTCAATCTTAAATTCTAAATGGTCTTTCATGAACTTTCTTGCAGAAGTCTGCCTTAGAAGCTGAGGATCTGGAAAACATATGGTTTGTATGAAAAGCAATTGCTTATCCTAAAAGTCAAAGGCAGACAGGATTAATGGAGTTGCATCTGCAAGACAAATATTTACTGAAGGCTCACCATATGGTAAGCTTTGCGCTAGGCCTGTCAGCGCACGGCTGCCCTTTCTCCATGTTCACATGATGCCAGACGTTGTTCTTAGGAGGATCAAGAATTCTCATCTCATGAGAAACTAGGAAAAACCCCAAAACCAAGCACAAGTGAGTCATAATTGATCTTGGAATGATGGACTGATTGATAAGGACATGATAAACCAAACATAATAAAATGGTGTTTGTCCAAGCTGGATGGTGGGCTTATTGGGTTTAATGTAAAATTCTTACAACTTTTCAATATATTAGAAATTCAGCAAACTAAATGTTAAGGGAGAGATAAATCAGAGTTGGTTCCAAGTGCATCAATGAACCACTGTCCCCAAATCCCAAATTAAAATGGGAGGAAAAGACATGCAAGATTCTTAACAGGAGCAGGAGAGAAAATATCCAGGAATAAGCTTAAGAAATTGCTGGAGAACTCTCTCCTGTTTGGAAAAAACTTCCGCATGCTTCTAGAGGCAAAACCGGGAACAAACAGAGGATTAAAAAATGATCTGCAACTTGAAAGAACATGTTTTTTTAAATTTTTTTTAATGATTATTTTTTGTGTGTGGACCGTCAAATCGGATCTGATTAGTACAGGAGGAGACTGTCCCTCCTTCTCCAGCAGAGCATCTGGTGGATTAGAACCATGTACCTCTGGGACTACAGTGCAGCTTCTTGCCACTTGGCCACCAGGGCTCTCTTGAAAGAACATGTTTTTTTTGATGAAGTTTCCACGTCTTTCTATATAAATATTCAGAGCTATTTTAACTACAAAATTGATTTTATTCCTTTAAGAAAAAACCACCACCACTTTTATTGTAATTTGAGTAAAAGTTTTACAGAGTAGACTGGTTTTCCATCTACCACTCATACTCATTTTGCTTCATAACACTGATTACAATTCTCAAATGTTAACAGTACTATTCTGTGATGCGTGTTTCCATTTCTCTTTCTATCTGCTCCTCCCTCAAGAGCTGTACCTCTGTGCAAATGCTGCCTTTTTTGATCATGTACAGCAGACTGTTTTAATGGAGAATGTCCCTGGAATTATAGTTCCTCTTTTCATCATGGATTTGATGAACAATGGGATATTTAAAAACTAGTTTTAGTTTGTATTGTTATTAAGAGTGTTTTTAATGTTAATAGAATTTTAATTTTACTTGATAATAAACATATTAACATTAAAAAATTATTTGCAAAAACAGTCATAACAACTTCTCTTCCTCCTGTGTGAGGAGGGCCCCTTCCGATGTGACTTTGACACCCCTCTCACTGAGAAGGGAAGGTTGTATTTCCAGCTTGACTTTGCATCCATGTTTCTGCACTGGCCATAGAACAGTATGAAACAATATAAAAGTGACAAGAGCAAAGGCAGGAAAAATGCTTGCCCTCTGGCCCACCAGCTCCCTGCTGCCAGGAATATTCTGCTCCTGGGTTTGCCTCTGGACATGAAAGAATCACATGCAATGAGACTTGGGGCCCCCCCCGGCCATATCAGGGGAGGCCCCAGTGTGAGCCTTGATGGGTTGTACTGTGTCTCTCCAGGAGATACGCTGGTCTCCTGATGGCTAATGCCTGTGATATCACCTGTCTGGAGATATCAGCTAACATGAGGTCATCCTGGAGTAGTTCTTGTTAGGTGCCATCGAGCTGAGTATGACTCACAGTGACCCTGTGGACAACAGATCAGAACCCTGTCCTATCCTGGTCATCCTCATCTCTGACACACTGACGCCCACTGCTGTAGTCACTGTGTCCGGCCACCTGGCTTAGGGTCTCCCTCTCTTTGGCCGTCCGTCCCTCCACCTTTTCAAGCATGATGTTCCTCTCCAAGGAATAACCACTCCCAGCAATATACCCAAAATATGTGAGATGAAGTTTAACATTCCTTGCCTCCACAGAGCACTCAGAATGCACCTCCTCTAAGATGTAGCTGTTCTTTGCCACTCCATGGGGTACTGATTACTCTCCTCCAACACCACACTCCAAAAGCAGTAATTCTTCTGTCATTCTCATTCACTGTCCAACTCTCAGATGGGTATCAAGTGACTGAAAAGATCATGGCATGGCCTGTGTCGGGCATACCTTAGTCCTCAAACTGACATCATTGTTCCTCAGTAATTTAGAAAGGTCACTGACTGCAGACTCGCCCAGTGTAATACGTTTCCTGATCTCCTGACTGCTGGTACCAAGGGTACTGATTGTGGATCTAAGCAAGATGACATTTTTGAGAATTTCTAACCTCTCTCCAACTATCATGATGTTGTCTACCGGCCCAGAGGTGAGGATTTTTGTCTTTTTGATGCTGAGTTGCAATTCATCTTGAGGACTGTAGTCGCTGATCTTCTGCAGCAAGTGCTTCCAGTCCTCCCTCCACTCTTCTAGCAGGCGGGCAAGGTTGTGTCATCTGCGTAGGAATCCCATAGGGACGCAATGTGCGTCCACCAGCTGGTCCGCGGGAGAAGGATGGACAATGTCCTGTGGGGTTAACTGCCCCTGAAAACCCTCTGGAGGGTCAGCTAGGAGGTGGTTCCAACTTAACAGCACACAACAACACTGAAGTAGGGTGAGTCTTCAACACATCTGAATAACGTCTTTTGAAATGCCAGACATAAGTGCTCAGACTGCTGGCCTCCGTAACGGTGAGACAGCAGACTGCTGTTCTAACACGTCACCTGGCTTACACTGTTCTGTTATAGCCGCCCTGGACCAACACGCCATCCACTTCGGCCTCAGATGGGCTTTCCAGACCACAGCCTCTATCCACAGCCAGCTGCAGGAATCATCAGAAACAACAAATGTCTGCACTATTAAGTCACTATGTTTTGGGGTAGTTTGTCAAGCAATGAAAATAAATTAAATAAAAAGCCCATTAAGTCATTAAGTAAGACGTTCTACATAACAAAGAGCTCCGAGGGCCTGGTGGGTAGACAGTTTTGCTACCACGCCAAAGGTGGGTCATTTTAATCTGCGGCCCTCAGGACTGGTTTTAATTGTTTTTGCTCAAACATTCTTCTAGATCATACAGGCCTGGTCTGTCCATTTGCCATACAGAGGTAACTCGTGGCTGCTGTGACGCTAAACACTGTGACACTGATGTGTCAAATGAGATAATGGTCACCCATGGTGGAC